AAGCCCGTGTCCCACTACGTATTGCGGACGCGGATTGGATTGGGATTACGGATTGCGGATCGAAATTCAGCCAATCACAGCGAGGCAACTTGGGATCCGGATTGCAGATCACAGGATAGATGACTGTCTATTTGTACGATCCGTAATCCAATCCGCGTCCGCAATACGTAGTGTGACACGGGCTTTAGGCTTCTCTCTGAGTTTACTAATCCCAAGTTCAGTAACTTTTACTCCTTTACTAGGGACTGTGTAACGGCAGACTTGACGGCGCTGGCAGCAGTAGCTTCACAGTGGCAGCTCTGCCTCACGGATTTGCAAAGTTCATCCCGTTCGAATTAAACATGGCTCTCTGGATGCAAACATGACTCGTTGAAATGAACGAAAATAAGCAAGTTGTTGTTGACGCAACGTGACAGTATTCGACCGCATCATCTTTCGTCGAACTTGGCTCTTGATCGGTTCTAGCCCGGTCGCTATTGAGGTGCTGCAGTCATGACTGACGAGTGCAAGCTGGTAGCAAGCGAGCTGACGATGCCGTCGTCCACGTCGTCCGAGATGAATCTTGCCGAGTGTCGGCCGCAAAAGGAGTTGGTGTACAATAGATTCTTACCCTACGCCAGTGAGCTTGATGCGGAATCGCGCGTGATGCTCGCCGAAATCAAGGCAAACCTGGGACGCGCGGTCATGCTACGTGAATTTAAGCCAGGATGCATCTTTTGGTTGCATAGATTGTCTATGTAAGTAGTCCCGCCTCTTCTCTCGAGATGAGAAGTCCTCGAGCTTCTTTGTACCATAAGATGTGTTTGGGGAAAGGATAAAAACGTTCAGAACTTGAAGGACAGATAATTCTTATCTCTGATTAAGCGAATAGTTGATCTGGCACATGACCTGGTCAGTATACAAGGTAGGACAAGGTAAGGGGAGATATGCAACACACAAAAGAGATATTGGGCAGAAATGAAGAGTATCAACCGTCTGGTTTTCAAATGTTACCTCTGCGGGGAAAAATTCAAATTTGAGATAAAGTTAACATGTGGATTGGGAAGGGAACTTGAAAATCGTTACTAGTACAGTGTTACACGCGACAAACAATTTACGTATGACAAAAATAAAACTCAAGTTATGGAGGAAGAAATTAAAAGGGTATGCATTATATAACTTTGTTCTATTTTGAAGATGGAGGCAGGGAAACCAAATGGTTCTCTTCAATGATTTGACGATACGAAAAAGGTGACTCGTTTGTCTCTCTCTCTGTGCGTGTGTTCATATACAGGGTTTGTCAAAAGTGTGGAAACCACTAAATAATTTTTGTAAAAATGAAAATATCAAAAAATGGTAAAACACGTATTTTGATTTTTCAAAAAAACTATCTTTTGACATGGATACCGACCATCCCTCCTCCCCAGGTACGCGGTGGTAAAAGGGGGGTTAAAAATTTTAAATGGGTCCCCCTATTTTTTATTGCATATTCTTATAGCTCACCTCGAGAGCTTTCCAAAATGCTATAATAAAGTATATTTTTATTAAGAACTTTTTAAGTTATTAAGGTTTGAAAGTTCCAATATTTTGACATAAATTACAAAATATCTTGTAAAATATTCATTTTTTTTATCATCTTACCTTAATACTTTTTTGAACAGAATAATGAGACAAATCACCCGGTGTAAAGAAAATACAAAATTGTTGAAAAAAAATCTACAATTTGTAACAAGTAATAAAAAAATTTTTTTTCAAACAATTGTGTGTTTTCTTATCTCTCGATATTCTTACATCTAGAACGGTAGGAATTAATTTGTGTAAAAAAACGAAAGACACGGTTCTCTCGAAAGCAAATTGTCCGTTCCATCTCCGAGGAGTGTAGCTCGTCACTTTACATCAGTTACGTACCGTTTGCTCGGTTTGTCGAGTATTATCTGCCTTCTAGCCCTCTAACCTGTCTTTAATCTGTTTTCATTTATTCTGTATTATACCAATTTTATTATGACATATTAAACTCGCTTATCTTCCAGGTATATAAAACTGTATGGGTTGAAGTTTAGTAAAGAGGATCATATAGCGTTTGTGAAATTATCGTATCAACTTATTACCGTACCAAATCTGGATCCTGACCTCATGTATCCAGCTTGCGTTATATTGAACTTATTGTTAAAGTAAGTGAAATAAAAGTCAAAGAATACTGTGCATTAAGTCGTTGCAAATATTAAAATATTGTCAAGTGCATTTGAGGAAAGAATTTCTGAAATATTGTAGTTGGTAAAAAAAACTGTGCAAAAGAATTTTAACATTGTGAGTTGTGATTAGGAAATCTGTTTAATGAGAGAATAAACTTTTGATCAGGCAAAACTTGGAACTCAGAATGAACAAATTTCTTGCTGCAAGAGTTATTTTCTTGTAGAATAGAATTTATTTATATAATAATTTCTAGTTGACGTATTCCAGCTTGTTGCTTTTTTTAGGAAAAAAAAATTAATCAGCCCAGACGAATTAGAACTTCCATGGAGGCCTTTGTATGACATTTTGGCGCGTCATCTACATCTTGATTTACTGAAGATGAATCCTCTCCCTGAGTTCTTGCGTTCTGAATTTGAATGCACGGTCGTTTACGTAAAGAATTACTTCCCTGTAAGAATGATTCTTTTCTTTAAAAGAAAAAAAAAACGTTCCAAGAAACATTCGGCGTATGACTAACTTTATATCTCCCTATATTATTGTAACAGTTGAATGCTACACAAGAAATACTAGATGAACTAAGACCAAAGCTCTGTCCTTTCTCTGAATCACTGCTTCAAAGTCTTAAGATTTTAAATCTTATTTTGCCATTGCAACTACCTCCTCGTCATTATCCTATCGGACATCAGTTGTGGTTTGATGAATTGATGACACTGTGGAAGGTATGCCACAATGGTTCAACATGGGAAAACACTATGTTATATTTAATTGCGGAATTGGCGGCTTGGAATATTGGGTATATTGATTGGGAACCGCATATACCCTTAATGTTTACTAGATTTATACGATACCTAGAACTGCCAGTAACATATAAACGGATACGAAACGACCCAATTTTTCATAAAGTAGAAATGACATCGATAACTAGGTGGATAGTAGCAACCTTGGTAAGATTGTGCATATGGTGATCTGAGAGATACATGCGTTGTGTGTATATTTTATATACATACATGTATGTACACACATATATATATACATAGACACATGCTTTATAGGGAAATGGCTCGAGCACACAGGTGTATTTGGAAAAATTCTTGAAAACTATAGAAACGTATTTTTATTCAGCAAATTTTGGGAAATGGATGCAAAAGTTGAACGAACTCCTTGTCGAACTTCCACGTCATTTCATCTCACGTTTACGCGTGTACGTAAATTTCATACATTTCTTTTATCCCCCCCCCCCTCTCTCTCTCTCTGTCTCTCTGTCTCACCTTTAATTATATTATCTAGAAAATGTAAAATTGTATGATTTCAGAGAAAGATATGTTAAAAAGACATGGGAAACTCCAATTCCCGACAATTACAAATTAACCGATTCTGATGTTGACGCTTTCGTCAAGTGTATGTTGCCGGTAACTATGACAGCTATGTTTAATATGAGTTGTATAAAGGATACCCATCAGGCTTTACAGTATCTAGCTACTATGAGACCGAGTTTAGTGATACCAGACGTGTTTAAGAGAATGCAATCTGCATTTGATTCTCCGACCCAACCGCATAAACTTACAGCTTCGATTATTTGTATGGAGGCTGTTGCTAGACCAATGGTGCAAGGCTCTAGGAATATAAATAAAGGTATGAAACTTGTGCCACTTTCCTCTTTCTCGATCTACCTCTCGAACCAACTTAACATTTGCCTTCTGCAGGTTACGTTTATTCGGAAGGACCAACGCACGTGGTGCAGCTGTTACTTTCCTTGCTACCCGGAATTGATGCCAATGACAGCAGAAAAACTTTTGCTACGCTCAGATTTATCACCGGTTATGCCACGCTGATCTCCATTGTGGACTCTTCTAAATCTACCTCGGTTATGACCGAAGAGGAGAGAACAGTCTGCGAGACAACGTTGTACTTTGAGGACTTTATATTACAGTTCCTGGACAGAGTGTTCACGTTTATAGAATCCAGCTCGTCGGAGAACGTGCTCGAGAACCGCAGTGATAACTCGAAGGACAAACTCGAGTCGATCGCGGAGAAATTGCTTGCAAGCGTGTGCATGAGCCTCCTGAGGCAGATGAGCGATACGATTTTCAAGAGTGCTCTGCGCAAGCTGTACACGTTCATGATGGAACGGATCCCCGAGACGAAAGTAGCGGGCCAACTGACGGCGGTCGTATACAATAGTTTTTCTCGCTTCAATGGACGCGAGACTCTGCGCGTGCTATTGCCCGTGCTCGTGAAAAGAATTTTATCGCTGGTCAACGACGAAGACGTTCTGAAGGAGGAGAACTTGGACCATCGTCTCTTACACGCTATGCGTATACTATCTGCGATCGTTGACACGCCTGGCAACAATTTGATATTGCATATGGATACGCTGTTCGATGTCCTCGATCGCGTTCTACTTTTGAGATCAACGGACGGCAATAGACTGGCCTGCTTTTTGTTGAAGCGCATTTTAACATCATTGTCGACAATCACTCCGTGGCAGTGCAGATCCAGCGAGAGAGACTACAACGATCCTAACTACCCTTACTTTAAAGAATGGGGTCAAGGCGCAGATCTTGATAATTTTCACATCAACTGGTATATTCCCGGCGAAGAAGAAATCGCAGTCGTACAGCGAATATTCTTAAAATATTTGACAGTTGAAATTGATAAGCTCAATAGTTACTGCAAAAATACTAGCATATTAAGTAGGTCAGTAGTTTCATTGTCAGTGTGTTATCATTTCAATATCAGGCGTCACGTTATAATCGCTCAAAACAGTTGAGATTTTCAATGAGTAGACGCTCGTGAGCTCAATATTCGAATCTAGCAAGACATAATGTAGGAGTACTTTATTATTTTTCTATTTTTGCGTATAAAATTCATAGATTAGAGATCGTTACTTCAAATGCTAATGTGCGTACATGTGATGCATAAATAATTGCAGGGAGGAACTGTTGGCTAGTTTGAACACTGTGTCCAGTATTGTCAAAGGTTCCGCATCTGTCCTACCAGTGTGGACGGAAGCACCGCTCGAATTGGTCAAGTCTTCTGTGAAATGCAGTATGTCTACAACGTGCACGTGCGGAATAAAAGGATACGTTACGATGCCGGACGGAAGTAACGTTAGACGTTATCTTGTCGAAATCATGAGCCAAGTCCAACAGGCAATGCTTAAGAATGCTGAGGACGACATAAAGAGTTTCTTTGGACTGATCCAGGTGTGATATATACATTGAACTATCCTTCGTGGTGTACTATATGTATATTAAAGATATATCGACCTTCTACCTGGGCCAGAGTTCGTGTGAAAGTTTCAAGAGCTTTTTACTTTTCTCAATATATTATAGATTTGGACTAGTCTGTTATTACGAAAGACAAAATGGCGCAAATGGCATGAATGGCACAAGATTTTTGGGAAGCTAAAAACGCAATTTGATGATAAATTGGTGGGAAATAAGAATGATATAGCCTTGGTGGTGATCGCTCGCTGTATCCTTCAACACGAGTTCAGATTGAATTCGCAATCGACGACCACTGTCGCACTTACGGAAACTCATAAGCGAATAATACTACAACTGTTCACTCTGGCTGTGAGCAGGTATGCGAACGTACGCTTTAAAGCTCAAGCCAGTCTCTTCTCTACCTTTGAAAATTTTCCATATTCTTCTACACTTATATTGCCTGATCTTATTGAAATTTTGGGAAAAGATACCGAGAAGTATCACGATGCATATAAGGTAACGTTAAATGTTAAAAGCGACGTGTAAATGTCGCCTACAGATATAATAATTATGTATTTGAGAAACAACAAACACTGGATACCTATATTAAATTAAAACAAAATTTTTAATCCCATCCAAAAACAGGGTGCTCTGTATATATTACTCGGACTGCGCAACAATCCCATTGTTGACAGGGAAGGAGAGTTCAACATCGCATCACTGTTATGGCCAGCCCTTGTACTTTCCAAGCCGTCCGAAAAGCTCTCTGTGATCCGCCTGAAAGAAAACATCGTGAACTCCATAAAGCGAAACTTCAATTTGTGTACGCTCAAATTGGAAATATCCGACGCGTGTTTGATAGCTGCACGCGCCTTGTGGCAACACTCGCCGCAACCAGCTTTGCCACAGCCTGATGAAAACGAGATAGAGGAGGGTGCGCGAAAACTGGAGGGATTAAATGATTCTAATCTGGCGGCGTACTACAAGTTACTCGGTGAACTTTTACGTTGTATACTCGAAGAATCTCTGCATTGGCGGCACAGATTAATGGTGATGAACTTCATAAAAAAATTGGTGCATCTGGAACACGCTTATCCCGCGAAATTGGTGCGTTATTTCTCGCAAGCGCTTATACACGAATCCTTGGAAGAGAGGAAAATTGCCATCCATATAGTGGGATTCATGTTGAAACAGCAAAAGCGAAAACATGTAAAGGTACACCGAAATTTCGTTGGATTCTGTACAGCGAATTGAATGAATAAATATTGTATTGATTTTCTTTTTCTCTTTTCAAGGTAACGGTCGACGTGCGCAGTTTGTCCAAGCGCGAAGAGGAGAGCGCACCAGAGGAGGAAAAATCGCAAAGTGCAATTGTGCCTGGCATGAGAGCTGACAATTCTTGGCTTCAGTATAATTACGCAACCCGTCCGTTAACCGCCCAACAGTGGGACGAATCTAGATACGTTCATCAATTGCACATAGGTTACTACGCTTGGCCAAAAATTGTAGAGGTGTACGCACCTTCGTCTCAACAGCCCTGCCTCGACCCGGAAATCCGCGAGCTAACGGATTGCGAGAAGGAGATCCACTCCTTCTTCGATGACCCACATAACATCGAAAAGCTTATTAATTATTTCAGTCTGGAGGAGAAGATACAAGGATTCAATGTACCTAGATATCTACTGTTCAAGGGCCTGTTTCGTAATCACGGGATTGTTCACTTGAAGCATTTCCTGCCACATTTGCAGCGATTGGTGACGGACAAACACAAAAGTAGCCAACTATGTGCCGCGGAGATCACAAGCGGGATCATTAGAGGCGCTAAGCACTGGCCGTTTCAGATGACGTGCGACCTGTGGCAGGCACTATTGCCCGTCGTAAGAACCGCGGTTGAAAATATAGTGGCTGAAACCGTTCCTGGCTGGGCTTATTGCTTCAAGATAATACAAAAAAATAGAGATCCCAATAGGTGTCACTGGCTACTTGAGTGTTTAATGGAGGAGCCACCACTGAAAGACTCGGTCGAGGAATGTGGCCGTCTGTACCTGCTACAGTCCATCTTGAATTCGCATACGTGGCGGATAACGGAACTGAAACAACGTCTGCTGACGCGTTTGGAGAATCGATTGCTGACGAGTCCGTTTCAGAATGTTCGACATGGTCTGGCATTGGTGTTGAGCTATACTATATTCTATACTGATCTGAGAACCCCGTACCATGCAACCGACAGCGCGACTCCGCGAATGCAGACTCTGATCGATAAGATTGTACCGAGATTGCAGCAACTTGTAAAGAACATAAACGACGTCATGATCAAACCGAGCCTCAAGGAGAATTTATTAAAAAAAGTGGCCGACATTTCGGTTGACGAGCCAAAAAGAGCGATCGAGCCAACAAGATCCGAAACGGAACAACAAGAGATGCTTATAAGATTGTTGAAAACCGTTTGCAAATGGATTAAATATAGCCTGTATCGTTCGAACTACTCCACAAAGTTAGGATTTTACGAGATATTTCCAATCGTATGTCAATTAGAAAACTGGGAAGCTGACGAAGAGCTTAAAACGTTGTGTTTAAATACCTCAGCGAGGCTCGCACATGCATTTGTGTTGCCAGAGGATATGTCGGTAATACTGGCTACGGTGAAAATGGTATCGGAACTTTCATCGTGGTCCGCTAGGTTCAACAGTTTGGAATTCCTTAAAGTATTTGTTTTTCACAATATGGGCATAATTCTTAGCAACGTATTGTGGATTAACTCCGTTGAAGATATCGTTTTGCGTCTGTTGGAAGACGACTGTTTAGAAGTCAGAGAGAAAGCTGGTCAAGTACTCGGTGGACTGTTGCACTGCACGTTTATCACGGATCAAGAGAAATTGCTGGCAAGTAATTCTAAGGATTGTTTATAATTTTAGAAATCCAGTTTAAGAAAGCTCAAGACCTGTAATTTCTTACATGGAATTGTACTTTTAGGAGGTGTTTAAGAGAAAAGCAAAGACCCGATTGCAAACCAGAAATAATTCTAGTGATCAACACGCATCAAAAGAGACATTCAAGAGTGATGCTATACGTGTACGCCATGGTGCCGTGCTTGGACTATGCGCTTTCATTAACGCTCATCCATATGATATACCCAAATATGTACCTTCGATCTTCGAATGTCTCAGCCTTCACATGAATGATCCACCACCTATACCGGTAATATTTAATCATATATAATTATAATGTTTTTCTTCAAACTTTATTATTCGGTTTTTTATGTATATATCAGTGCACGCGGTCCTTCCCCATATGATAGATTGCCAACCCTGCTCGTTTAAAATCTTTCTATCTTAAATGGGTACATAACATGAACTACAATAGTAGTGACACTTTATTGTATGGAGAGATCTCGCGGGAGAAATTTTGGGGGCAACTAAAATTTTTATATTGTTTAAATACATGCATATACACACACGCACACATATGCTTGTATGATACATTCAAGTTGTATCAACAAGTCTTAATTAATTTGTTTGAAACAAATATTGGAATTATAGGTGGCAATAAAGGACACGTTGAATGATTTCAAACGGACGCATTACGACGATTTCACAGGAATTAGAGGCCATGCCCAATGCTTGACGGAAGAACAATTAGCTATTTTAGACGACTTAGCAGCGCCACCATCATACTATGCTTAATCAGGGGTGATTTTACAACACACTATAACAATATGATGTATATGCACATTTCTAATGCTAACTCATGCTAATTTTGTATCTAAGAAATGTAACGTGGTCATTAAAACCTAAAACAAATTAAATGGCATTTTAGCCTACATACATTGGTTATTTTCATTATTTATAATTTTACTGATAATATAATCTGACAAAGTACAAATACCATATTAGGAGAGTCTTGATTTGAACTACATTTTCTTGTCGTTGTAAATGTTACATCGAGATAAAAGCATCATTAAGTTTCTTCAACATTTAAGTTTTGGTTAAATTTGTATCAAATGCTTGGTATGTGCAAAATGAAAAGTAAACATTAAGTATTTGTAATTTTATCATGAGAAAATAATTTACTCGTCAGCAAACCAAATTTGCTTAGGTTAAAGAACTTGAAAGACTCGAACGAGGTATTAAATTTTTTTTCGAGTTACATTCCATCATTTTTTATTTAGACAGTCTAACTATTTCTTGTTGATACATGATTATTTTCGACGGTATAATTATCGATTGGTTGTAATGGTCACCAATAATTGAAGATACATAAAATAAATCAATTATGAAGTATCTGACAGCGATGACATAAAAAATATAATATATAAAGTAAAATATTCAATATTGTTATCCAAGTAAAAAGTACATACAATTTTTTTGTTTTTTCCCCAAATGTATTCTTGGCTTATATAAGTTTGTTTCGTAAATACTATTTTAGCGATATCTTTTTAAGTGTTACGACAAATAATATGTTCTAGGTGTCTTAAATAATATAGTATACTTGGTATATTAATTATATATATATAACAAAATACTGTAATACGTTGTATAAATTAAGTTATATGACAAGTTTTTATGCACAGGATGACATTTATCTATTTTATAATAAATATTACTAAAAGACAATATATTATGTGTACGCAAAATCATTAAGCCTTTGAAGCCTTTAAACAGAATCTTCGTACAAACTATAAAGTTCCGCGAATACTTTATTCGACACAGAAGTGTTTGAATTATTAGCTTCGTAATCAATATTATTCGTCGACTTTGAAAAATTAAGTCGTTTAGTGTTAGGTGTCGACAAACAACTCATGCGCGACCTTAAGGCCATGTATTCCTTCATAGGTCTACCTTCTACTTTTTTATCTTGGTATTTATTCTTCGCAGGAGTTCGACTCTTAAGCGGTGTATTGAATTTCTTGTTAACAATCTCTAACTCATTTTCTAAATTCTCAAAGCTATCGCTGACCGCATTCGAATTTTGTAAAACCTTCGCCATCAAGCGTGCAGAACGCCTTCTCCTTTCGGATGTAATACATTGCTTTATTAACGGCGAGTTCAGATTCTCTTCGTTCTCTTTGTCATTCATTTCCAAAAAGTTGTCATCAATATTGAGCATTTTAAGAGTTTCGTCCGAACTGTTATCGCGTTCCGTATCAATGCGTCCCAACGGCAACTTGGAGTCCATAGTGTCCGTCACTTTGGTATTATCGTTTAGATTTTCTGTGGTTTCTATTATTTGTTGTGCAACTTCAGTTTCCTTGTTGTCCTCACTTTTCACGTTTGCCACATTTGTCGCACATAGCAGTTCTGTGACAGTAGTTAGCGTTAGCTTGAAATCGGCCACATCTTCCTCTAGTCTACAGATAAGATTTTTCAATTTAGATAACAAAACTGTCAGTTCTGTTTTATTAAGGGTTACACTTTTATCGCCGTCTGCGCTACGTTGTAAATTCAAGCACTCCTCCTTTATTATTTTAGCGATTTGTAAGGATGATTGCAAATCTTCCTCAGGAATAGGTGAACATTCCTCTGCTTTAACTCTTTCAAGTAAATTCTCTTTTACTTTTCTTACGCCAGACAATATACATGTCGTGGGCGAATGATGTTCTGTACTAGAATCTTTCTGTTCTGTGTCATTATTATCACACGGACAAGCAGTTTTCACATCTGTGTCACTTGCAGGGTGCAAATGTGACCTATTGGTAGTAACGTTACAGTCGTTATTTTGGCAAATATCATTTGATATTTTATTAGAATTTAAATTCTCTAGGACTTTCTCCACTGCCCCATTGCCCGTCTCTGCAAGATCTGTGAAGGAGGAATGTAAGATATTTATACCAGATTGCTCGTTTAAATTTAATGTGTGCAGTAAGACACTCTTCACATGTACGGCAGAATCGGCATGCATATTTGTATTTTCCATCTTGGCCGAGCAGCCTTTCGACGCCACTAATAATCCGGGATTCGTATTTTCAGAATTCATTGTCAAAATGCTAAATTGAGACTTCTCAAACCTGTTTCGTTTAAATATGGTCTGAACATGCAATTCTTTTATTGTATTCGGTGGCACTAAGTAACTCTTCCTTGTGAACAGAGGCAAGTTTTTCGTTTTTGGATTATCTTCTTTGTCGTTCGTGTCAACACATGTTTCAGCTTTTATTTTAGTTCGATCTTCTGGAAATATTAAATTTCGCCGTATACCTCGCTCGTTACGTGGCAATTGCGCATGTATGTTTGTACCTGAAAAAAAAAGTAATGAGAGATGTAAAAAGATGTTTTGATAGTTGTTCGTGTAATAAACGTTTGAAAGAAATACAGACCAGG